ACATAAAGCACTTTGTGCTGTGTATTGAAATACATTTAAACTGTGAGCTGAACTTGCTGCTTTGTTCTAACATTTTTATTTTAAAAGACAACTGATGAACTATGTTTGTTCAGACTTGGAGGTCTGGCAGATTATTTTCTTTTCTTTTTTTTTTTTTGAGACGGAGTTTCGCTCTTGTTACCCAGGCTGGAGTGCAATGGCGCGATCTCGGCTCACCGCAACCCCCGCCTCCTGGGTTCAGGCAATTCTCCTGCCTCAGCCTCTTGAGTAGCTGAGATTACAGGCACGTGCCACCATGCCCAGCTAATTTTTTTGTGTATTTTCAGTCAACCACCATGTTGACAAGGATGGTCTCAATCTCTTGACCTCGTGATCCACCCGCCTCGGCCTCCCAAAGTGCTGGGATTACAGGCTTGAGCCACCGCGCCCGGCCTATTTTCTAGAAAATGAATGTGGTTGCCAATAGTTCCTCGATACCTTAAGAGACCTTTTGATGGAACTGTGGTAATCTATTAATATTAATGTGTTACCACTTGGAAGAATCTGCATTAACTCAGTAAACCAATATATTCCAAATGACCAACGAATGGATGTCACAAAATAAAGCAGACATCAGTAAAACTTCACTACAAACCAATAGATTTTGATGTTAACAGAGACAAAAGATTCTCTGATGCAGGTTTCAGATGGCACGATGTAACTGACCTTTAAGGAAGTGCCACCTGTTGAGCAATGGAGTAGACCAAAGAGTGTCCACAATTCTCTATTACAATACTCCTCCCTATACAACTACACATTTGTGTAAGCCTGACTTTCTTTATGTTTCATGAAAAGAACCCAATAATCTGCCTGCCTTCTATCAGGCACACATTAAAGATACTTACAAAAATATAAAATAATGCCATACATCTATTTGTTGTAATTATAATTGTTTTATATAAAATGTTGTTTATGTGATATGTAATTAACCTATTACTATTTTAAAATTAAAACTTCCAGTTTTAACTTACACACTTTATAAACTTCCAGTTTTAATTTCTAACCCAATAAATATCTATATAATCCACATACACACACACAAAAAATCTTTGGCTCTTTACATTTCTAAAATACAAAGGGGTCTGACACCAAAACATTTGAGAACCACTGTTCCATACTATTTAACCATATAATTGTATTGCCTTATTCCCCAGAGACTTGCCTTCTTCAAATTAAGAATATTACATTTATTTAAATCCTTTCTACCTTATAACATATATAAATATATTTAATGGTTTTTACCCAGTAATATTTTCTCCAAAAATTAAAAATAAATAAAAACTTAAATATAACAAGAACTGAAACCCAAATTACAGGAGTAAATACATTTTAATTATTGCCATAAGGTTAGTAGGAGAGTCAACTAGACAAAACTATTATATAATAAATAATACTTTATCATAAAAAATATATTTTAATGAAGGTCAGAACTGCCCTACAAATTAAATTCTAGTTATTCTAATTATTTTTAATTACAAAAGTGTACATTGGGCCATGCATGGTGGCTCATGTCTGCAATCCTAGCACTTTGGGAAGCCAAGGAGAGCAGATTGCATGAGCTCAGGAGTTTGAGACTAGCCTGGGCATTATGGTAAAACACCATCTCTATAAAAAATAAAAAAAATTAGCTGGGCGTGGTGGCACTTGCCTGTAATCCCAGCTTCTAGGGAGGCTGAGGTACGAGAATCATTTGAACTCAAGAGTCGAGGTTGCAGCGAGCTGAGATCATGCCACTGCACTCCAGCCTGGGCGACACAGCAAAACTCTGTCTCAAAAAATAAAAGAAGTGTACATTGTATTGCATATTGCATATGTGAGTTACAGATTCTGCCACTAGCAAAGGGTCTTTTAGAAATACAAAAGAAATGCATTATCTACAGGTGGATTACAGTGAATTTCCCAAAAACAATTTGGCACAAGGCTAAACAATTTTAAATACAATTAAAAAGTCCTAAGTCATAAATGCACTATTATTTCTTTAAAGATCTTTAAGTCCATCCTAAATTGATATTTTGGTAACACCTTGTTTAAAAATAAAAACTGTTCCTACATTTAAAAAAAGATGCCTACAAGTGAAAGAACAATGTGAAGGTTCAAGTGAAGACTTTAAGAAGTGGAAAGCAAGTTCATGTGTCATTGCCAACATCCACAACCCAGCGGAGGAGCAGAAGGACCCCACACCCCACGGTGCTCATTAATTACTTTGGGTGAATCACAGCTTCCGATCACGTCTGAAGTAATGTGGAACTCAGATTCAGAATTCTTACATCAATCTCTCTCCTTCTCTGTTAAGAACTGGGAAGTCAGGAAACCATGCCAGTTGCACGGCTGAAATGAAAACACAAATAGCTGCTATCAAGGTGTTGGAGACACCACAGAATGAATTATCTATTTCCCTAATGGTTACCCACATGCCATCAATAATGAAAAAGTGTGTATTAATAGTCCTATGGGACAAAAGAACAGTAACTGCCTATGGAGATGCTGGATAATAACTGGATAGTTCAAGGAGCATTTTTAACTAGGATTTGAATCTGCATGAGAAGAGAGCTCAAAAATTATACCAAGCAGCAACTTAGTAGCTTTTTTGTGCTTGAAAGTCTTGGCAAATGAAGTCAACTCTGGCAGAAGTAAAATGAGAGATTATTGTTACTATGGAAGCCAACCACAATTTTTTCTGAGATTATAAATATCTGAAATGTTTTTTAAAAAATCCACAAGCCTAAAACTGTAGTGATGTTAGGGTGATAATGAAATTCACAAAAAGTTTCCAATTTATAAACGGGCAATGTTCCAAAACTTTACCTATAAACAAGATGGATGAAACTTAGCATTTTTGTTTTGTCTAAAACCGATGTTATACAACACTGAGTATGTGAAAGTAAGTCCAACTAGAAGCCTTACTGGAAGTGGCTAGATTCTCAGGCTAGCTCATAAATGCATGTAGTCCATGTATTGGAAATACTACATCTTTACAAGGGATTTCAGCAGAATGTACTGTAGTAGGAGTTAACACCATGTGAAACAGTAATATAAAACGTAATAATGTATTATGAAATCTGTCATTTGAGGGAAAAAAAATCTTAATTAGAGGAACTATAGAGTGTTTTTAAAGTCTACACAAAAAGAGGCTATTTAAAGGTCTTAAGATTTTCCTGGGGCAACTAAATAGAAAGATTTCAGAATCTGAGTAATATATTAAAAGAAACAGAAAAAGAGAATAAATCATGGGAAAACGTTAGATCCAACAGTTTCCCGTACCTATCACTAAGTTATATAGCTAGCCCAGGGCAACTTGGTTAGTAAACTCTCTTATTCATATGCCAAGAGGCCATCGATGTGCCCGAGAGGACGGCAGTGTGCGAAGAGCTACCTGTAGGTACCTGGCTTGCTTTCATCATTCCAAGCTAACTATGGGAGGCAGTGTGGTACAATGGAAAGGAGACTGTTCTCAGGCACGGTCTGTTAATAGGTAGCTTTTGCCAATTCACTTAGCCTCTCTGAATATATATTTCTTCATATATAGGAGGAGGATAAAAGATTAAATTTAAACACTGTTGAGATAAAATGCAATAGTGTGTTAATAAGTGCAGCTACTTCTATGAGACAAAATTTACATTACTTTATTATCTACTATAGAAGAATATGTGAAATTAAGTACAACTGGAAGTCCTACTGGTGGTTCTGGATTAAATAATGGATATGATTCCCTAGAGGCTACCACATCTGACAGGAAATAATCAGAGCAATGCCCTATTTGTCGGTTAAAACCAAGCTCAGAAAGTAGATCCTCCAGAAAGCTTGCCTTGGACCCCTACTCCCTACTGCCACCCATTCCATATTCTGTAGTTTTTGCAAACTGAGGTGGCAAAACTTACTATTACAGCGTAATTAACCTGCTTACACAGGCTGTGAGCCCCTTGATAACAGAGACTCCATCCGGTTCAACTCTACATTTTCAGTACGAAGCAGTGCCTGATGCATAGCGAGCACCTAGGATATCATGACAGTAACACTAAACGGGCAATCACAAAATCACAAAAAATGGGCAATCACAATTTTGTTTACACAGTAAAACAAAATTTTAGTCAAAGATGAGTGATTGCCCTAAGCATGAAGAGAAGTACTGATCCACCACCCGTATACCCTCAAAAGAGATCAGTGAAAATGAAACATCAACACTCAAAGCCAATATATGCATCTCTTTCTATACAGTTACTATTACACAGTAAACATTTGTTAAATGCGGATGGACATTTTTGTGGTTTTGATACCTTGGGCTAGTAAACACTAGTAATGCATTTTACTTAAATGCTGACTAAATTCTACAGCAAAATTGACTTCGATTGTATGGGTGCTTTTTGCATGTTTCTTGAATACCCCAGAACTTCCTGCCAGGGTATTCACAGGTCTAAACCTGTTAATGGCGTGATTAGGTCGCGATTCTCCCTCCCTCCAACCTAGTAGCTAGAATTTTTCTATTTTACTTTGCAAGTCTGTGTGGGAGGGTGGTGGAGAGGAGGATTGGATTTTAAGGACCCTGGGTTTGTACACATTACTGGAAATAAAATCGACACCGAACACGAAGATACGTTTTAGGTTCCAATTACAAAACGACACCTGGCGAGCCTCTGGCAATGCGCGCACCTTAGTTTCCAAAACAGGTATGTGGCTTCAGTTCGCTGCACCTGGTGAGGGGTGAGCGGAGTGGGGGCGGACGGCCGGGCTTCAGCCAGGAAAGGCACGGCGCCCCGGGCGGGTCCCCCACAGCCCCCGACGCTCGGTACCCCCGATAAGCCCCCACCACCCAGGAAGCCGCACGGGCCCCGGGGCTCTCCCCACCCGCCTCCCGGGAGGGTTTCGCGCCGGCGCTAAGGAGCCGGCGGCTCCCTGCTACCCTCCCCGAAGGCGCGGACCGGCGCTCGGGCCCCGCGGGATCGGCGTCCCGGGGCTGCACTTACTCAGACTCGCGGACAGACTGCGCAGTCGGCCGCGGGCACGAAACCGGGCGCCGCGCAGCAGCGTGCCCCAGCGTCGCTTCCGTCGCTCCTCATCGTCCTCCTCCAGCCCAGGGGCCGCTGCCGTCGCCACGGTCTAGCCCGGAGCTCCTGCAGCGCGTCGCTCAGCGGCCCCACTTCCGGCCCCCGCTCGGGTGTCGCCGGCAAATGCCCCCGCCGGCTCCCACATAACCTGTTCTCCGTCTTTCCTCCCGGAGTGGGAACCCTGCCCGTTCTCCCGAGCATGCGCAGAAGCGGCTGTCGGGGAACTCCCGCGACGGTGGCCCGGACGGAAAAGATACCTCGGCGCGCCGTGGGCTCGGCTCCCTGCCCTGCAACCTGGGGATCTTGGCCTCCCACCCTCCTCCGAGAACGAGGACTCCCTCCAGTTACGCACCCGCGGCCTACTGATTGAGGAAGAGCCGGATCCGGGGCAGGACCGGCCCGGAGCCAGTGAACTCGAAGTCCACCATTGCTCTGCAAGCCTCAGGTTCACGGAGGAATTTGTTCTGCTTGATAGGGTTGTTAGGGGTGTCGCAGTGAGTTCTAGGGTTTAAAGCGCTTCCATAAATATTTTTCTCCTTTTACTTCTACCCGAGTGGACTGTCAACAGCGCATGCAGGTTTTGTGAGGCCTGAACGTTCTACTATTTGGACAGCCCTTTTAAAGAAAAATAATGTAAAATTATTTTTGCACATTTTACAGCGGTGCACGACCACGGGAACACCCTGCTGGGGCCGCTCTCAAGGCTTTGGAAGTCTTCATCACAAAACGAGCCCTTCAAACTTGGGCATCGTTAGCTTCACTCTCCCCCCGCCACCACCATGCACCGAAGTGTACAGACATGTTTACAGATGTGTGCCTCCCCTCTCCGGGGCTTTCCTTATTATGTCCCCTATTTTATATAGACAGAGGATGTTTTATAAATTGGTGGTGGTGGTGGGTTTGTTGTTGTTGTTTTGCCTTTTGAGACGGAGTTTCGCTCTTGTCGCCCAGACTGGAGTGCAATGGCGCGCTCTCAGCTCACTATAACCTCTGCCTCCCGGGTGCAAGCGATTCTCCCTCCTCAGCCTCCCAAGTAGCTGGGATTACAGGTCCCCAACACCATGCCCCACTAATTTTTGTATTTTTAGTAGAGACGGGGCTTCACCATTTTGACCATGCTGGTGTCGTACTCCTGACCTCCCTCCAGTAATCTGCCCACCTTGGCCTCTTTTTTTTTTTTTTTCTTTTTTCTAAGAAAGAAAGGAAGAAAAAGAGAGAAAAGAAGAAAGAAAAGAGAGAGAAAGCAAGAAAAAAAAAAAAAAGGGAAGGAGAACAGGAATCTTGCTCTATTGCTCAGGCTAGAATGCAGTCTAAAAATGGGTATTAAAAACCTCTTTTATGCCAATAAATGTGCTTTACAATGGAGACAGGAAGTAATGAGGAAGGAAAATAACAAACAAGCAGCCAACCAATATTTCATTTAAACCTGTGAAATGCTATGCAACTGCTGAGGAGTGATTTACTTCCAATTTTGTGGTCACTTTTAGAATAGGTGTCAGTGATTCTGAGAAAAATGTGTGGTTTGTGGATTTGGGGTGGAGAGTTCTATAAATGTTTGTTTAAGTTTACTTGTTCCAGGTCTGAGTTCAAGTACTGGATATCTTTGTTAATTTTCTCGCTCATCGATCTGTCTAATAATGACAATGTAGTGTTCAAGTCTCCCGCTATTATTGTGTGGGAGTCTAAGTCTCTTTGTAAGTCATTAAGAACTTGCCTTATGTATCTGGGTGCTCCTGTATTGGGTACGTATATATTTAGGATTGTTAGCTCTTCTTGTTGCATTGATCCTTTTACCATTATATAATGTCCTTCTTTGTCTCTTTTGGTCTTTGTTGCTTTAAAGTCTATTTTATCAGAGATGAGAATCGCAACTCCTGCTTTTTTTTTTTGGCTCTCTGTTTGGTTGGTAAATCTTCCTCCATCCCTTTGTTTTGAGTCTTTGTGTATCCTTCCATGTGAGATAGGTCTGGATGCAGCATACCGATGGGTTTTGGCTTTTTATACAATTTGACTGTCTGTGTCTTTTGATTGGGGCATTTAGTCCATTTAAATTTGAGATTGATATTGATATATGTGAGTTTGATACTGCCATTTAATGCTAGCTGGCTGTTTTGCCCATTAGTTGATGTAGATTCTTCATTATAGTGATGCTCTTTACCTTTTGGTATGTTTTTGGAATGGCGGATGCTGGTTGTTCCTTTCTATATGTAATACTTCTTTCAGAAGCTCTTGTAAAGCAGGCCTAATGGTGAGGAAATCTCTGAGTACTTGCTTGTTTGCAAAAAAATTTATTTTTCCTTCACTTATGAAGCTTAGTTTGACTGGATATGAAATTCTGGGTTGAAAGTTCTTTTCTTTAAGGCCAAATATTGGCCCCCACTCTCTTATGGCTTGTAGGGTTTCTGCTGAGAGATTTGCTGTGAGTCTTATAGGCTTCCCTTTGTGGGTAACCTGACCTTTCTCTCTGGCTGCCCTTAGTATTTTCTCCTTCATTTCAACCCTGGTGAATCTAATGATTATGTGCCCTGGGGTTGCTCTTCTTGAGGAGTATCTTTGTGGTGTTGTCTGTATTACCTGGAGTTGAGTATTGTCCTGCCTTGCTAGGTTGGGAAAATTTTCCTGGATAATATCCTAAAGAACATTTTCCAGCTTGGATTCATTCTCTTCATCACATTCAGGTACACCTATCAAATGTAGATTAGGTCTTTTCACATAGTCCCATATTTCTTGGAGACTTTCCTCATTCATTTTTACCCTTTTTTCTCTAACCTTGTCTTCTCGTTTTATTTCATTAAGTTGGTCTTTGACCTCTGATATCCTTTCTTCTGCTTGATCAATTCAACTGTTAAAACTTGTAGATAGTTCATGAAGTTCTCGTATTGTGTTTTTCAGCTCCATTAATTCACTTATATTCCTCTCTAAATTGTCTATTCTCGTTAGCATTTCGTCAAACCTTTTTTCAAGGCTCTTAGTTTCTTTGCATTGGGTTAGAACATGTTCTTTTAGCTCACAAAAGTTTCTTTATTATCCACCTTCTGAAGCCTGATTATGTCAATTCATCACACTCATTCTCCATCAGGCCTAGTTCCATTGCTGATGAGGAGCTGCGATCCCCTGTAGGAGGAGAGACATTCTGATTTCAGTGTTTTCAACCTTTTTGTGCTAGTTTCATTCCATCTTTGTGGATTTATCCACCTGTCGTCTTTGTAATTGCTGACTTTCAGATTGGGTCTCTGAGTGGACGTCCAGCTTGTTGGTGATCAAATTTTTTCTGTTTCTTTGTTTTGGTGGACGCCCCTCCCCCTCAGAGCTGGACCTGCCGGGGTTCAGCTGTGCTTGCTGTGAAACTCTCAATCCTCAGCGATTCCAATTGCTTTTTTTTGTGTGTGGGAGTGGGACCAGCCGAGCCTGATCACCTGGCTCCCTGTCTCAGAGTCTCTTCTTCTTTTTTTTTTTAGTCGAAAGGTTGACTCTCTCAATCTGTGTAATTTCCTCTGTGGCTACCCACTGCGCTGGCTGAAACAGCAGTGTTGAGATTCATGGTGCTTTTCTGTCTGGGAATCTCCCGGTCTGGCTCCTCGCTTCAGTCCCCTTTTCAATTAGCTGAATTGGCGACTCTGCCTTCTCAGAGCTCCAAACTTCAACTAAAAGGGCACCCAGTCCCGTATACTTTGCCCTGAGAACTGCCGCGCTAGAGTGCCAGTAAAACAGCTGCGCCAGCCCAAAGAGTCACACTGGTGACCCATGGGGCTCCTCTGCTGGGAATCTCCTGGTCGGTGGGAAACAAAAATTCCTCTGGAAGTGTGGCATCCACTCACTCTCTGCGCTTTCCCTGGGAGCGACAATCCTGAGCTGCTGCTATCGGCCATCTTGGATCTCTCTCCCCCGCCTCGGCCTCTTAAAGTGCTGGGATTACAGGCATGAGCCACCGTGCCTGGCCTGTGGTGTCATTTTGGAACATATGTATCCTGCTACCAGATCGAGAGCTCCAGGTCAAAGCCGGGTTCTTGATTCATAGCTTCCTAATGTTGATCACCGAATAAGTGCCACACACTAAAATAGACCATTTACATAAATAAATTAATAAAGCAACTGGAGAAGATATTTAGTGAAAACAACCCTTGATGGTCTTTGAACCAAGCAACTAAAATAACATGATAAAATGGAGACTGGGTTTTGAATCAATCTGGAGTTTGTCTGGTTTCATAATTCATGGTTCCTCTTGTGTAACTAGCATAAAGTCCAGCTTCTGACACTGTAGAAGCTTAGTAGATGTTGAACAAGCTACAAATGTACACAGATAGGTACCCTCTCATAAGATGGGCAAGTGAAGGCTCCTACCTTAGCACTGTTCATTGTTCCTCCAAAATAAATTGATAACTTAAGTGAAGAGTAGATATTCCTAAAACAATATCATGAGACTTTACAACGTCACAGATGATTGCAGGTAATCAGGCAACTTAGGTCAATTAGACATATAAAGTAAATAACTGAATATTCTTGGGCTGGAAGGAACCCTAAGTTCTAACTCCACTACAAACTGGCGCTGAATTAAATGCGTCAGTTTTGAAAAATGATATTTTCATACATTACACAACCTCCAAGGGCACTTATAAGCTCTAAAATGTTTTATCAAGGCCGATGGCAGCAAAATTTCTTTTAATATAAAGCAATATTTTATGCTAAAATAAAATAATTCTAAAAGTTGTTTCTGCCACTCTTCATGGATAACTTCTCACTTCTTCATGGTGAAAGAGGATGGACTATAGCAAAACTTTCAGTGGAAACCAACAGCTCCTGGAACATAAACTGGAGTGGTTTTTAATCTCTCCCCCCTCAATATCTGTTTAATCCTTAAACAGATACAAGAAGAGTCCATAGTTGATTTCTGGTCATGCAAACGTTTATTTCTGTATTGTAAATTATGTGTTGTCATGTATTATTTTTGTATTAAGAGAACTCATACCACAGTAGCAAACATCAGGAAAAAAACAAACAGCTCTACATAGTTTCCAAAAGCCTATATTTTAAAAGTTTAAATGAAACAACCAACATTTTGAGTGGCAGGATGTCCTGTTCTTTCTTGGGCGCTTTCACAACCAGTGAAATCAGTATAGTTACCACTATTTTATGTACAGAGAACAAGAATTAGAGGCTATCATTAGCCAGTGCACAAAGTGATCTTAGGTCTCTATCAACGACAAAAATCCACAGGCGTGTGGATCAACTGCTTGCAAAGAGCATTTGCTGCTGAGGCCAATAGGAGCTGTCCATACTCAAGACCCTAACCAGGATCCTCCAGGTCCCGCCTCCGCGCCGGCCCTCCCACGTCCCTTTGCGAGCGTGGCTGCGCCTGCGTGCGTGAGCCCCGTGACGTCACAGCCTCGGGTCTCCCCTGCGCCTGCGCGGGGTGCAGCTGGCGGAACCGGCGACTTCTGGCGCCAGCTTCCGGATTAGTGGCTGCACCTCAGGCTTCACGTGAGGTGGTAAGTGGGGGGGGGGGGGGGGGGGGAGGGGGCGGGGGCAGGCTGCGGGTGTGTCGGGAGTCAGGTGGGGGATGTGGGGCGGCAGGCGAGGGGTCTGGTGCGTTAGCCGGGCATCAGGCCGGGGGGAGGGTCTGTGGGGCGTAAGGCGAGGGCCGTTTGGAGAGGGGATTGGGGTGTGTGGGGCGTCAGGCGGGAAGTCTTTGGGGCGTCAGGAGTGGGAGGCGGTCTGTTGGGCGGCAGGCAGGGTGTTTGTGCAGCGGCGGGTGATGGGGGTTGCCGAGTTCACCGCGCTGTAGTGGCGCCGCATTAGAAGCCAGGCCTGTTGATACTCATCTAGACCCAAACCCCAGGTCGTGGAACGATTTCTCCCATTTTTGACTCCCTGGAATTGTGTACTTGCTTTACCTGCGTACACGCTGATTCCTTCTCATGGCAGCCCCGCAGGAAACCATCAAGATCTCATTTTACAGCTAGAATCCTGTGGTTCACAGAGGTAACGGGACTTGCCCGAGGCCAGGTTTTCACTCGGAATCCGTTGAGGGTTGGGGGAGAGTAGGGCGAACGGGGCAGAGAAATGATGTAAACTCCCCCGGGATTTTCCATTTTCCAAGAGGGTACAAGGGGCACTGGAGCGGAAAAGACTTTAGGCTTGGAGGAAATTACTTTGTTTATCTTCTTACACTTGGTCGCTCATTAACCTTTGGGATCTGAGGTCATCCCAAATTGTCACTAAGTGCTGTGAAAGATAGGCAGCTGTAAACCCTTCGTCTTCTAGGGAAATAGCTTGTCGAGGGTTGCATAAGGGAAACTTCAGTTGCATTAGTCACTTTCTCTTTTTTCCCCCCCTCTCTCTAAGTGCGATAAAATAACACTTAATCACTTTCCATGGTCACTGAATAAAACCTGCTGGTTTGTCTTCCTATGTCGCTTCAGGACAATTTAGTCAACAACTGAATGCATGATGAATCGTTATTGTATACTAGTAACTTGCATTCATTCTCCTGAAAGCTTTGCTTACTGTTAAAGAGTGAAGCTTCTGCCCACCTTTTAATCTCCTTAGTATTTTGCAATATTTATGTTTTAAATGTTGCATGGATCAGCAAGCATTACAGTATTAAAATTATCAAGACTTACTACTTTTTAAAGCAAGTTTTAGATTATCTGATTTTATTTTCATTCTAATTTCTACAGTTTTTAACCTCATTTTACACGTAGGAAAACTAAAGCTTAGAGAAATTAAGTAATTGCTCAGTATCACCCAGCTATTAAATGTTAGCATCCACATTTGAATTCAGATTTATTAGAGTACAGAACCTGAGCCCTAAGAATCTCCTCGTTTGTCTTATTGCAAATGGAATGAATCAGCCAAAATTCTCAGAATCCAAAAAATAAAATTAGCATGTGAAAAGGAATGGAAGTCCTAATCTTTTACTTTTTATGCCATTGTAATGAGCAAAAATACTTATGCCTAGTTTATAGCAATTTTGGAATCCTTGTTTTGTGTATAGCCATTTTTAGAATTACATGTGCACCCACAACATTACCTACATTTTGTAATTAAAAACTAATTTAAGTATTTGCCTGGGATTTGTTGAGGGAAACTTTAACTTTGAGACCATATAGAATCTATAAATATATCTGTAGAAATTATATACCAATACTGCAACATTAAAGAAATATTAAACTTCATTTTACATAGTTTATATAGAAATTGTAGATACAGCATTGTGTACCATGATGTACCCCCTTGAGGGAGCATATTTTCAGAGCTAGGGCAGTGAATGTAGGTAACCAGGTGGTGCAGTCAGTTATGCAAACCAGATTCAGGGAGAGGAAACAACAGCATATTCAAAGATAAAAGTTTCAGGGAAGTGTTCTCTCATAGGTTTATCTTTTGATCTAACTCACTCAGTAGAAGTTCTGTTTCCTTTGTTGGAAATTAGACTGTCAAGTACACCAAATGGCTGTTGTGAACCATTGCTAGGGCAGTCAGAACTGCTGAATATTTTTAACCAAACTGTATCTCACCCACTGTGCATGTGCATCTGTGTGTATGTTGTTTGTAACCAGCCCATAGTCTTCCCTGGTGTGCTTTTCCAGGAGTCAAATCTAGGTGTGTCAGTAATTCATTCAGCAAACCTCCTACACGTCTGCCACTAGTAGCACAAATTATAGCACAGTTTCTGATCTCTAGAGACTGACAATTTAGTAAATTGTATTGTAATTAGCCATTTGGTTTATTTTGCTGGATACTAGATAATGCCTTGTGCATGTGTGTGTTTCTCGTTTGTTTGCTGTGATGGAGAGTTGGAAGGTTGGGAGTTACATGTTCTCTGTGTTATAATAGGTCTCCCCACTCCCAGCAAAACTCTGACTCCACTGGAATACATGGTGGTGTGCCAGGAGGTATCTGAAACCACAGGATAAAACAGTTTCTATTCATGGAGCATACATTTTACTTGAAACCTTTTTTTGGAAAAGTTATGTTAATGTTACATAGTTTATGCTAAGATTACTCTAATATGTTTATCTTCCAGTAGACCTTGTATGACTATTTAAAACTAAAGAAATTTCACACTTGTGAAATTTTAGGAAATACTCTTGCCCTAGCTCAGCAAGGTACTCATTCCTTCTTCTCTGACTTTAGCAGATACTTTAGGGAAAACATCTGTCCTCAGGACATTTTACGATTGTTTTATTCCATTAAAGCACTTAGTATTTTATTATACTCAGTTTCCATTACACACACCCCCCCCTTTTTTTTTTTTAACAGAATATATGTTCTTTTAAAGCAGGAGCATACGGTATTTTCCCCTAGCACAGTGTATGTAGCACATCTCATATGTAGTCATTAAATACATAGGGAATAACTGGCATAGAAATATGAAAAAAATATTAATAAATTTATACTTCTAAGACAGTAAGTAACTATGGTAAAATAGATAAAGTGAGGATTTTGATTTGGGCATTTTAAGCTGAGATTGAATGTTGGTGTGATTTGGCATAGCTAACAGTGAAGAAGTGAAAAAAAAAAAAACATAGACATAGGTTTTGTTTGGCTGGAAGAAGAGGATACCTGTTTTTTGCTTTGTTTCGTGTTTTCGGTCAAGGGCCCTGCCTATGATTAGGATTTCTAGGAAGTCAAATTTCAATTCAGCAAATGAGTGATTTGTTAAAAACATCTATTTGAAGAAGTTGGTTTCTGGTGCTGTGTGATGGTCTGTCAGGAAAAGAAGAGACATACAGTGAAAGGCCTTGCTTTAGAAGCTCAGCAGTGAAGTGAATTAAGCCTGATTAGTTTTTCTGTCGCCATTATTTGCAATATTTGTTTGTATTATGTGCTAAATAATTGATATATAGAATAAGTCAATGAAAGTTGGAATTTAAGGAGAAAGATAATTAAAATAATTTCTGTATTACAAATGTAGGAAATATAGCTGATGATACTTTTCATAACTGAATTAGGGTTGAAGCAAAATAGTTATTAAATGTAGAGATTGAAAAGATAGATTGTTTATAGCACTGATCTATTTTATTTAGCAAATATTAATAAACATTTATTATTATCTGAGTGCTTTGTAAGGTCTTTACATGAAATATTTAGTTGAATCTTATTCTCTTTTTGCTTTACTAGTTAAACTAGAAGATTCATCACCACTTTGATGGCTGCCTCACAAACTTCACAAACTGTTGCATCTCACGTTCCTTTTGCAGATTTGTGTTCAACTTTAGAACGAATACAGAAAACTAAAGGACGTGCAGAAAAAATCAGACACTTTAGGGAATTTTTAGATTCTTGGAGAAATTTTCATGATGCTCTTCATAAGAACCAAAAAGATGTCACAGACTCTTTTTATCCTGCAATGAGGCTAATTCTTCCTCAGCTAGAAAGAGAGAGAATGGCCTATGGCATTAAAGAAACTATGCTTGCTAAGCTTTATATTGAATTGCTTAATTTACCTAGAGATGGAAAAGATGCCCTCAAACTTTTAAACTACAGAACACCCACTGGAACTCATGGAGATGCTGGAGACTTTGCAATGATTGCATATTTTGTGTTGAAGCCAAGATGTTTACAGAAAGGAAGTTTAACCATACAGCAAGTAAATGACCTTTTAGACTCGGTTGCCAGCAATAATTCTGCTAAAAGAAAAGACCTAGTAAAAAAGAGTCTTCTTCAACTTATAACTCAGAGTTCTGCACTTGAGCAAAAGTGGCTTATTCGGATGATCATAAAGGATTTAAAGCTTGGAGTTAGTCAGCAAACTATCTTTTCTGTTTTTCATAACGATGCTGCTGAGTTGCATAATGTCACTACAGATCTGGAAAAAGTCTGTAGGCAACTGCATGATCCTTCTGTAGGACTCAGTGATATTTCTATCACTTTATTTTCTGCCTTTAAACCAATGCTAGCTGCTATTGCAGATATTGAGCACATTGAGAAGGATATGAAACATCAGACTTTCTACATAGAAACCAAGCTAGATGGTGAACGTATGCAAATGCACAAAGATGGAGATGTATACAAATACTTCTCCCGAAATGGATATAACTATACTGATCAGTTTGGTGCTTCTCCTACTGAAGGTTCTCTTACCCCATTCATTCATAATGCATTCCAAACAGATATACACATCTGTATTCTTGATGGTGAGATGATGGCCTATAATCCTAATACACAAACTTTCATGCAAAAGGGAATTAAGTTTGATATTAAAAGAATGGTAGAAGATTCTGATCTGCAGACTTGTTATTGTGTTTTTGATGTATTGATGGTTAATAATAAAAAGCTAGGGCATGAGACTCTGAGAAAGAGGTATGAGATTCTTAATAGTATTTTTACACCAATTCCAGGTAGAATAGAAGTAGTGCAGAAAACACAAGCTCATACTAAGGATGAAGTAATTGATGCATTGAATGAAGCAATAGATAAAAGAGAAGAAGGAATCATGATAAAACGTCCTCTATCCATGTACAAACCAGACAAAAGAGGTGAAGGGTGGTTAAAAATTAAACCAGAATATGTCAGTGGACTAATGGATGAATTGGACATTTTAATTGTTGGAGGATATTGGGGTAAAGGATCGCGGGGTGGAATGATGTCTCATTTTTTGTGTGCAGTAGCAGAGAAGCCCCCAGCTGGTAAAAAGCCATCTGTGTTTCATACTCTCTCTCGTGTTGGCTCTGGTTGTACCATGAAAGAACTGTATGATCTGGGTCTGAGGTTGGCCAAATACTGGAGGCCTTTTCATAAAAAAACTCCACCAAGTAGCATTTTATGTGGAACAGAGAAGCCAGAAGTGTACATTGAACCTTGTAATTCTGTCATTGTTCAGATTAAGGCAGCAGAGATAGTACCCAGTGATATATATAAAACTGGCTGTACCTTGCGTTTTCCACGAATTGAGAAGATAAGAGATGACAAAGAGTGGCATGAGTGCATGACACTGGATGACCTAGAACAATTAAGGGGAAAAGCATCTGGAAAGCTCGCATCTAAACACTTTTATGTAGGTGGTGATGACGGACCACCAGAAAAAAAGCGGAAAGCTCCCCCAAAAATGAAGAAAGTTATTGGAATTATTGAGCACTTAAAAGCACCTAACCTTACTAACGTAAACAAAATTTCTAATATATTTGAAGATGTAGTGTTTTGTGTTATGAGTGGAACAGATAGCCAGCCAAAATCTGACCTGGAGAACAGAATTGCAGAATTTGGTGGTTATATAGTACAAAACCCAGGCCCAGACACATACTGTGTAATTGCAGGGTCTGAGAACATCAGAGTAAAAAACATAATTTTGTCAAATAAATATGATGTTGTCAAGCCTGCATGGCTTTTAGAATGTTTTAAGACCAAAAGCTTTGTGCCATGGCAGCCTTGCTTTATGATTCATATGTGTCCATCAACCAAAGAACATTTCGCCCGTGAATATGATTGCTATGGTGATAGTTATTTTGTTGATACAGACTTGAACCAACTGAAAGAAGTATTCTCAGGAATTAAAAATTCTAACAAGCTCACTCCTGAAGAAATGGCTTCTGTGATTGCTGATTTAGAGCATCGGTATTCCTGGGATCGCTCCCCTCTCAGTATGTTTCGACGCCACACCATTTATTTGGACTTGTATGCTGTAATTAATGACCTGAGTACCAAAACTGAGGGGACGAGATTAGCTATTAAAGCCTTGGAGCTTCGATTTCATGGAGGAACAGTAGTTTCTTGTTTAGCTGAGGGAGTGTCTCATGTAATCATTGGGGAAGATCATAGTCGTGTTGCAGATTTCAAAGCTTTTAGAAGAACTTTTAAGAGAAAATTTAAAATCCTGAAAGACAGTTGGGTAACTGATTCAATAGACAAGTGTGAATTACAAGAAGAAAACCAATATTTGATTTAAAGCTAGCTTTCCTAGTGAGGAAAGCCTCTGATCTGGCAGACTCATTGCAGCAGGTGGTAATGATGAACTACTAAACTACATTTTATTTTTGTATCTTAAAAATCTATGTCTAAAAAGTATTGTTAGATATAGGAAAACAATAATTTTAACTTTTAAGATTGAAAAGACAATGGCCCAAATCCAAGAAAGAAAATTAAGTGATTCAATGATTTTTTTGTGATTAAGGTGAAGTAAAGAGTCCAAAGAAGAGATGTTTTTATAATATCCGTATAGATATCTAGAATTTTTATTTAGATACTAATAAAATAGTTTTCATAACTTTTAAAATCATGAAAAGACCTAACCAGTATATTCTAAAAAAAATCAAAACTTCAGTAATAGTTTTTATCCAGTAAAAGCATTGCAAGAAAATCGGGTAAAATGGTTACAATTGGACTTGTAAAATATGTCTTTTTACTTAGAGTTTAAAATATCCTTTTATATGTGAAATGTAAGCTAATTTGTTTTTCAAGATTAAGACAAAATGTAATAATAAAACTTTGTCAATGATGTTTTTAGCTAAATGAGAGGAAGCTGAATGAGACTTAATGATCTAAAAATTTAAAATTGAATTGGTTTGATTAAAAATAAAGCTTGCAGTTTTAAAAGTAGCTCACATTTAATTTATTGTGTGAAATAGAACATGTTTTAAAGGAAGTTTTTTATGTGAATTTGTATTCCAGCATAAATAATACTCACAAAAAGTGATTTTCCTAGATTTTCTCTATTTAATAGGTGTCATTATGGATTATTTAAGGTCAGCATATATGGTATGTATTATGTATGGATTTATATACCAAATTTTGGAATACAGCCTATCTCATGACCATATTGAAATGTATGGAATTTGATCTGTGAGATACTATGTGTGTATTATTTGAAAGTAAGGAACTTTTATCCAAATTGTGAAACAAATGTATGTGATTTTGTTATACTTCTTAATTTAAATAAAATATTTAATATACTATTAAAATAATTTTTGTGTTCTGTTCTTTTTAAAATGATTCATAATAGTTGTATCAGATTTTTTGGTGTCAGTAAAATTTTTGGTCTCAATCTGTTTCCTCTTTATGATCCTTTGTATTTCACATTACTAATGAGTGTTATTAAAAATTTAAAATTTTTTTAAAAATATATGTTTTATTGCGTTTGGGGTTTGGGGGTACATGTAAAGAACATGCAGGATTGTTGCATGGGTACATACATGGCAATGTGGTTTGCTGCCTCCATCCACCCATCACCTATATCTGGCAAACTTTTTTATGTCTATTGAGAAAAAATAACAAATACAAATAAGTGCAGTGGGAAAAAAGTCTGTACTGTTACCACTAAAGATAATAACGTAGTATTTGAGGTTACCCAGTGGTAAAGAAAGTACCAAAAAATATATAAATGTTCAGAGTACAATATAAATATTGTGTAACATAAGTATAAAGCAAACTATATGCTTCATTTAATCAGCTTTTCTCAATGAATTTTGAAAATTTTTACAATTCACTAAAATATTCCTCCACCATTTTAAATTGTTGTGCCATATTTCGTTGAATGCCGTGTAACGTAGCCCATTATTTTTCAAATTTTAGACCATTTCACCATGCAACGCCTACCTTTTTTTTCTTTTCCTTTATTTTTTTTTTTTTTAAGACGGTCTCACTGTCACCCAGGCTGAAGTGCCATGGTGCAAAGTCAGCTCACTGCAGCCTCCACCTCCTAGGTTCAAGCTCTTCTCCTGCCTCAGCCTCCTGAGTAGCTGGGATTACAGGTGCCACTAGAATAAAGTTCATGAGTAAAGACACTGGGTCAACTACTGATAGGGTAAATATTCTGAAGCCAATTAAAAAACACCCTTGGCTTTTATTCTCCAAGGCTGTGGTTTCTTGCCAGAAAGCAGGACAGCAGGTTTACTAAGAACTCCACCCTATTCCTTATCTCTGATGACTTACAAGTGTCGTTAAGGAGTTCATTCATTACAGGTTCATGGCAACTTTTTTGAAAGTCAGGTGGCTACGGTAGCTACTTCATACTCATGCGCTTGACCTGGGGTCTACGTGAAGAGGGCTGCTTTGGCCCCTTGGAATGCTCACTTTTGGGAAAATAGATTGTGTTTAAACTGTTTAACATGGAATTATTCTAGCCCTAGCTCTATCTTATAAACAACAATTCACTTTCATTGAATAGTACAAGTTCTTACTCTTCATTAGTAGCCTTTTGGGTAAAGAGAGGAATAAAGTAATTCCTGCCCTCAAAGAACTCACAGTGTTTTGACACGTAAGAGAATTAGAATGCAAAAGGTTAGTGTATTTCTAGGTAAAGGAATGATGGATTGTCCTGGAGGGGAAAGAGCACAAGCATTAGAATCAAGTCATTCCAGGCTCAATTATAGTTCAGCTACCAATATCTGTCATTTCGAGCAATCACAACCTCTCTGAACTCTAGTTTCTAAACTTTCAAATGCAAATGACACCTGTCTTATCAGAATGTTTGAGGACAGAGCCGTAGCCCCCAGCACATACTAAGAACTTTCTAGTTTTACCTGCTATTCTTATCCATACCTGGGTTAATAAGTGAGTAACTGGGGGAAAAAGTAGAATTTCATCAGGCATAGTGGTATGGAAAGTTTTTCCTTGCAGAGAAGAGATTATAAATAGGGCCATAGGGATATAAAAGTGAGAAATATTTTTAAAGCATTGAGATTTAGGGGTGAGGGAGAAAGATAGGTTAAAATAGAGTAGGGGAGATTTTGCAAGGTCTGAAATGCCACTACAGAATATGGACTATATATTGTGCTCAGATAAGTGCATGAAGAATTGTAAGCAAGGTATTTTAGCCTCTAGTTTAAGGTTTTCTTTTTTTCATTTTTATTTGTTTATTTATTCGACCACTTAAGGAATGATAAACACACTAAAAGCAATACATATTTGAGAAATATATACAACTTGATGAGTTTGGAGGTAAGTATACACCTGTGAGACCACCACATTCAGGCTGTAAATCCGTCAGCTCCAAAAGTTACCATATTCCCCAGTATTTATTGACCAGGTCCCCACCTTGCCTTCTGTTATTTAATGATTCACAAATATGAGTGCCTCTTGAATTCTAGGCTCTGTCCTAGTCCTGGAAGCAGCAGTAATCAAAGCAGGCAGAAATTCCTACCTTCATTCGGTTTATATTTTAGTGGGTAAGAGGGGAAAGAGAAAAATTCATGTTTCCTTCGCTTTCTGATTCTCCCTCTTTGTAGGCTACTTCCCTCAGCATATCAAAACCATATATTTTCTGGCTCATGTTTCTTTTCACATGCAAGCATTTCTAAGAATTATCTAAACGTCTTGTTTTATAAAATTACATACATAATGTTCTAACAAAGTCTTTGACCTCTTCATTGATACACCCCAATAAGAGCTTGTTGGGTGTTCTATGAAAGGAGTGCAGGCACTTACATAGCGTTCACCAGGAAGAAATTATAATCATGTTCTGAAGTTACGTACTTGGAGCGAATATTGCAGGAGGAAGAGAATCCACCCAACTAATCAGTAAGAGGAACCAAAAAGCGTTGGTGGTTCTGACTGATAGACATCATGGGGAGGTTGGTTGCCTTTGATGGAACACATGCTTCCTTTGATATTTGAAACATTTTGGAGCATAGAAAAAAAACATGGAAGTTTTCTGAAATCATAGGATTTAGTAATCTTGATGTCACCCTCTATCAAAAGTAGCATGGAATGTGGAGCAGCCAGAACTTTCTCTTATATGTTGCTAGTGGAAACATGCAATGGTGCCACTTTGGAAAACCGTTGATTTTTAAAGTGATATACCTACTCTTAAACATGTGATTTGTTCATTATACTCGGAGTAAATTGTATTTCAATAAATTATTTAAATAAATGTTTGAAACGACTACTGATTGTATAGTAACATAGACAAAACATCCTAATAATGCATTTGTAATTACTATTGCAGTAACTAAGCAATAGAATATTTCCAAATAATGTTGAATTTTAAGAAATGTGAGAATAATACAATATTAAATGTACATTATGGCATGTAGCTGTATTAAATATGACAATGCAGCAATAAAAAATTGGTATATGAAATTCAACAGCATTTCTTTTTAAGCAATAAAAATGGAAGTAAGTTAAATATAATGCTTCAAAAAGTAAAAAGCTGGTAGTTTTGGGGATTCATTATCGTAAATGAACAACATTTACAAAAGGACTAAGTGATGAATGGATGGAAACAGACATTCATATGTGTGTGAAGAAAACAGATGAACCTGAGAAAGCAGAAACTCCTTAGCAGGGATTTACAAGAAAGCACGTGGGCAAGTCTGAGATCAGCACCTGAAACTAAGAGGGACTTTGTCCAATGGAATAACATGTGAGGGAAAGGAGCCCTGGGTAAATCTGAAGGGCTTAGTACCCATGATGTCTCAGAAGTGAGCCACCATTGATGTTTTCCAGGTCAGGACCTCATAAAGAAGAAAAGATGGTGGGAATGGAATAAAAGGTGAGCAAAATAGGGGCAATAGAGAGACAAAGGAAATAGAAGGTCCACATTGAAGGTGAGGAGGAAGCAGCCAAAATTTTCAGAAAGCAAACCATTATGGTTTTAAAAAGCAACACTAGTGGGAATTCTATGACATTAGAAAAATTACCATTAACTACATTTTTTTCTAGATGTTTGGAGAAGTTAAGCTCACCTGAAACGAGGAACCAAATGATATGTGGGCTAAATATACACAAATAAGAAAATACTGTAATTGAAAGAATATGTTTCTACAAAAGAATGAACTCACGTAAGAAAGAAGTGCCCCTAAAACAGATCAAAGTTAATTTTTCTTTTAGAATAGAAGATGTGAAAGAACAACATATTATTTCAGAACTGGAAAAACTCAGAAATAAGCTGACGAAACTCAGGAACTAGATTTAAAAGAAAAAAATCTATGCGCTACTGGAAACAAAGCCATGGAAATAATATGTGTAACTATAAAACATATTTAACTACATAAAATATTAAATCACATAAATATTATTAAGTCAACTTTGGAGGGGGTGGAGTAAGGAGAGGTCTGGGACATTTGCCTTCTTCCAACATCACTCTTCCCTAGATCTAACCCTTTAAAGGCACCTAACCTCCTGGTCCTTAGTAGTTCAGTTGGACATGAATGTAATGATCTCGGAGGTCCTTTCCAACTTTAACATTGTGGTACATCCAAGAGCTATTTACTGGCAACCTTGAATTAATTTATTAATGCACTTTTTATATTTATTTACTTACTTGAGATGGGGGTCTTGTTCTCTTCTGCAGCCTTCAGAGCAGCTGGGACCACAAACACATGCTACCATGCCCTGATAACATTTCAAAAATTTTTTTGTAGAGTTGGGGTCTAGCTATGCTATCTAGGCTGGTCTCAACTTCCTGACCTCCACCAGTCCTCCTGCCTCAGCCTCCTGACCTTTTATTTTTATGGTGAGATCCTCAGCTAGTATCCATGATATGTTTGGGAGATGGGACTTGGTGAGCAGCTGATAAAGGGATCCTGGGGAGGTGAGGGAATCTCTATACATGCATCTACCAATGGCTTTTTCAAGTCATGGTTTTTCCAAGGAACTGCTTTTCATTTCCATCAACCTTTCGTTTGAATATATGAGATTCTTCTATCTTATGTAAATAAAATACCTTTCATAGGCGTGATACTTTCATTAATCTCTAACATGACTATATGAACAAACCACTTCCTAAACAAACGCACTTTCAAGACAAATAATCATGTCATTTTCTCCACAATACAATTGGATTGAATTATCTCCCTTTTGTAGAGAGATTATGTATAGAAATTCAGGAGAGCATTGCCTAATGATTAAAAGCCAAACTTTACTTGCATAATTCTGACAGAGGGTTGTTGCTCAAATAATAATGTTTTATATTAATGTTGACATGCTTTCTGTTATGGGATTAGATAAATAAATGAAACAAAAT